ATAGCATATGCAGAAATTAAGCAGTTACCTCTTCATCATTGGGATCTACAGTTGTTTCGTCATACACTCTCTGATTTTCAATAGTCTTTGGTATGGCTTTTGGAGGTGCCTAAAATAAATGAGTTTATTAACATAACACATTGATGTAATTTTTAAGTGTATTGCGAAAAACACATTCATACTACCATGATACTGTGTATATTTCCACACAGAATTAGAAGTATTATTTATTTTGTGCCAGCTTTTAAAAAAAGAAGTTACAACATCGCCTTGATTAAAAATATGCACGGGTACTGGGACACCAGAGAGCACCACATGGAGGAGAAGCATCGCGAGAACAGTGGCACTGCTTAATTCCAGTCTAATTAAGAAATGGGGTTCCAAAACAAAACAAAGAAGAGGAGAACTTGCTATCCACTTTTCTTCTCTTCCATGGAAGAAAAAAACTCTACTTTCAACGGCAACACATTTTAGCCTTGACATCTACAATTTAACAACTAATAGCCTATAACGTTTACCCTGTTTACTTGCACTACTCTTGTGAGATGATGACGATACAGGAACTCACAACGGACTGCCTTCAACTGTCAACAGGCTTTTGAAGTAGTTCAGGAAAAGAAGCAAAACCCTTGTTCGTGGCTGGGCTTGGAAAAAGCAGACAACCGGTCCGGGCAGGGTTTGGTCAGATCCGATTGTTTTAATTTATACAGAAATTACTTACCAGAGTATAATTCCTAATAACACCAACACGATGCCATAGCAATTACATCGGACAGAGAAGGCTTTTCAGGAAGGGCCTGCTTTTAGGCCATTATTAGCTTAAAACTCACCCTGCCCGATTACAGCATCGTTTAACACAGTACCGTTTAACACACGTTTCTACGCCCGGCCGTTTGATACCTCCGCTACACAACACGGCGTCCCTGAAGGCTACCAGAGATGGCTGCTCCACCTCACTGGAGCCTGCGAAGCAGCCGTTTCACTCACGAAACTGAAGAACCCCCAGCGCAAGGCTCAGCTGACGAACTACCACCGAGGCGAGCTCTTCCCCCTTCGCGGCGGAGCACGGCCTCCCAGCGGCGGGGACGGCCTCGCCACGACACGGGGCCGCGGCACGCTGCAGCCGGAGCCCTTACTTCGTCTCCGAGCGCTTCTCGCTCCTTTCTCCGCTTCTTCCTGGCGGCCAGTTTCTCCTCGCGGGAGAGGGAGAGCCATCCGTTAGCCAGACCCGCCGCCCGGCCGGGGCCTCCCCC